CACCTCCACCCCCACCACCCCCCCCCCAAACCTACCACCCCCCCCACACCAAATCCCACCAACACTCCCCACACAATCCCCACACAAACAACCCTCACCCCCCCCCTACCTCCCCATCCCAACACACCACTAACACCACCCCCCACCACCCTCGCTGACACCCAACCCCACACCACACACCCCACACCCACTCATCCCACATCAGTCCTCCACACCATACCTCCAACGCAGTTACACTTATCTCCACCAGACCCAGCCTAAGGTGATACAACCCCAGCAACCCGAAATAACAAGAAGATTGAAGGAAAAACTAAAGTGACTACCATCACATACCCAAAATACTTAACAGATAAAAAAAAATATTTTTTTTAATGTTTGTATTTTTATTTTTATTATCCCTTTGAAAGACTAAATTTCTCTATCTTTCTCTCTGGGCTGGACATAATCTCGGTCATAGGATATTCTGAGCTAACTCCTTTGCACAATCCCTATTTATAGCTGGCATACATTCAGGCCATCTTCTATTGAGTATTCAGCGCCTCCAAGGAGATATAAAAGGTTATCTTTTATCATTAATATCTAATTTTAAAAATATTAATATGATATATTTTTCTTTGATTTAGTCATATTTTACCGCCGGTTAATTAAGGTTTTGTAAATAGACCTAGTTTTTTTCCAGTTTCAATTTTTTTAGATTATTAATTTGATGTTGTGAAGTCAATATACAGGGTGTCTCATATGTTAATTGGCAAACTCTGAGGGTGATTTCAGACAAGATTTCCAGCAAATAAGTCCCTTTGATGCATTTGGGCCTATTCCGGACAGAAAAAGGGATAAGACTAATTTTGTTATTCGTAAGGTGGTCACGTTTTTTTATTCAATAAGAAGGAATTGCTCAAAAAGTGTTTAAGAAATTAAATTCTAAGTACACCATTGTAAAGTAGAATTTTTTTTTTTTATAAAAGAGTGATTAAATTTACTAAGCTCAATAATAAAAGGGATGTTCAATTCCTCTTTATTGAATAAAAAACGTGACCATCTTACGAGAAACAAAATTTGTTTTAACTCCTTTTCGGAATAGGGCCATGCATCAAATGAACCTTTTTGGTGCAAATTTTATCTAAAATCACCCCCTTCCTCCCTCCCCCCCCCCAAGTTTTATCAGTAAGAACTGAGTCACCCTGTAAAAATGATGAAAAGATTTTAATTTAGTTTCCCTTTATCTTTATAATTTTTCATTTGCTTTGATTATATTTCCATCCTAAATATAATTTCTAAAAGGTATTTTTTTTTTGTCGGTACGCCATAACTTCGTCAATTCTTCATCAAATCCAATGAATGATCGCTCATTTTGAAGATATTCTTCTCCTTCATATTCGAAAAATAGTCCTATCTCCCCGAAAGTTCTGGGGGAAAAGTTATAAAGGAAATGAGATTTTATTTTCGAATAACTCAAGAAGTATGCATTTTTTTCTTGATTGCACCCATCATAATTAGAAAGATTACTAAATTACCTGCAAAACAAAACAAAAAAAAAAAGTAAAAATCGGACAATTATTAACAAAGATATAATCTATTAGTTTTGGTATATTTCATAACGTCTTCCGATTTAAAGATATTGCATCTAGGAATAGAATAGTCTACTAATTTTTTTTTTTCTGACTGATACATTAACTTTATTATTTCTTAAAGACATTTGGTTGTTCTTAAATTTTTTTTCTTTTTTAATAATTCAGAATATCCCATGATCGGGGCATTATTTTGTCTATATTACTTTTATTATCTTTTCAGTCAGCGTTTATAAATAGGTCCTAGCAAAGCAATTTGAACAAATATTTTGGTCTAATATGTTTAATGGAATATTGTTTCATAGGATATCGAGTAGGATTCATATCGTTTTCAACATAATGTTAGATGCAATCTTTTTTTTTTTTTTTTCATTTGTTTACTACGAAACTGTTCATTTAGAAATCGACGAATAGGAACCATACTTGAATCAGATGTTTGTTTTGTTATTTTATTATGCATTTTCTGTTTCCTAGCTTTCTTCTCTAGTTCTAGTTAAAATGTACTAACACAATGTATTTAATTATTTCGCATAATTTATTTCGCCTCCTGAGGAAAACAAAAGTCGATTACTGCCTGTTTTTGCTTGTTTGCAGTTGAAAAAATCTTTGAAAAAAGTAAATAAATTTCAAAAATGTTGGTTACTTCACAATTGAAATTGACCATTAAAAGAATAGAACTTAAAAACCTATAGTATTTTATTTGTAGCATATAATTAATTACCTTCCATAGCGTATAACAAAATCCATCTGAATTAAAAGTAAAATTTATTTTGTCCGATTGGTTATATTTTAATAGATTCACATCGATTCTGTTTCAATAAATACATATTTTATCATGTATACTATACTGAATAAAACTAAATCTTCATCTACACTAGATTTCTTTTTATTATAAGTTTATTCGATTTTTTGTTTTATCACTGCAATATTTTTCGTCCTCTTTATACAAATATTTTTGATTGCCCTGTTTTTATTACTAACTATAATATCGTTATTGTCTTATGTTTTTAATTCAGGTTAATATATCATTATATAGTTCGATTGAAATTCCTATCTAGAAAGTCTCAACAGAACATTTGTTAATTGTTACCGTTCACAGATCTTGTATTATTATAGTCATTTGATAATAATTCGGCTTTTATTGATTTTCCTAGTTTTGACAGATTATTGAAAGGAAATTTGTTTGTTCGTTCATTCTTATGAACAGTGAGAAAATAAAAAAGCATCTTCAAAATCTGTATGCCATATTATATTTAATACTACATTACATTAGCCACGTTCTAAAATCCTAAAAGAAATAATTAATTCGCTTGATGTTTGTTAATGTAGGTTAGAGGAAACGTCTATCAGGCTAACACCACAAAGGGGGCAGTGTCCTACTTTATTCGATCGATAACAATATAAACATTGTCAGACAGAAAAATAGAAGCTATAGGCAAGTTCTTAAACTCATCGCTGAGTTTAGATACGGATCCGATATCTTCGTTGAATTGAGCTTGAGTTTAGGCCCTATTTTATTAACTATTATAATTACATATATGGTATATTGACTCTAAAATAATAAAGCTTTTATCGTTCGTGAGGATCAGTCAATAAGTAACTATATTTAATATATAACAAATATATCATATATGAACTATATAACAATTATATTGGTGACTTACGATACTAACCTAGATTATATGCTTAAACCTTCCAACTAGTTGCAACTATTTCGTGGGTTCGCCATGAAATAAATTTCTATCCTCCCATACCAGATTCAAACCGGGATGCCAGGTCAAAACGACAAAAACCCTGAGAAATGTTGTATTCAGGCAAGATATGTGAAAAACATTATGTTTTATAACATGTCGGACCTTCTGATTTAATATAGACTAAAACCATTTTGGTAAGAACAGCCATTATTATAATTTTTTTTTTAATAAATAAAATTTATTTTTAATTGTAGGTTTATGGTTGACTGTAGTGAATAATTGAAGTGAAGGATGGTTGGGGTGATCAGTCAAATTGAAATGTTAAAAAATAAATAATTTTATTTATTTTTACATTGCCGACGTTTCGTCCCGAAGTTCAGGCCTTCATTAGGCCTGCTGTACAAGAAGTAAAGTCAGATGAATACTATAAATTATATTTTATAGTAAAATATATTTTTCGTTTAATTTTCAATCACATATAAAATATATTATCTTCTTATTTTTCTTTTTTATTAGGAAGCTTACGTTTGTAATTTTGGATCAGTGTATGAGTGAATATGTGTAACACCAAATAATTTTTAAAAAATGTGACAAATATTTAGTTTTTGACAAATGGTGCCACATCAACAAAAAAAGAATGTAAAAATAAAAATATTACTCTGATGATGGGAAAATTGTCCCGAAACGTAAGAGACAAAAAGCATAAATAAAAAAATATGAAGAAGATTGGAAGTTTTATTGCCTAAAATATGAAAAAATAAAATATATTTTATATGTGATGAGTTGTAAAAATGGAGATATTTTGTATAAGGTTATTTAACGAATCAATTATAATTAACTATTGCATATATTACTATTATAGATAGTCCAAAATATTATAAAAAACTGTAATTAGGGAAACAGAGCAAATCAGCCTGATCGGATAAGTAGGAGTTTATTATGTAAGCGATTTTACAAATTTTGACAATTTTTCGAAAACGGCTCTAATGAAGGTTTTGACTGAAATCGTTTTATCAAAATAAAATTAAGTTTTCTTTAATATCAGACAGATGTTATTCCAATTAAAGGATTCTGACAGGACTTAAAGCACAAATTTTCAAAATGGCTTTCATATGCCGTTTAAAATAATTTCTGGTATCTCGTGGTTAGTAGTAATAAGACATGGAAAAATATAAAATGAAATAATGAACAAAACATTGACATAAGTTTCCTTTGCGGCTGAAAATATTTAAAAAAATTATTACAATACCTCATACTCAATTTTAAGGTATTTATTTATTTGTATTCTGGTTCTGTTGATTTTACGTAAGATAATTTATGGGCAAAATTATTTAATCATCCATACGGAATGTAACTATATTTTTTTTATTGTTTATAATCAAAGATGCTTTACTAGATGGTTAACGGATGATAAACAGTGACTAACAACTTAATTTTCAATTAATCAAATTAATAATAATCTAAATGCATTAAAGTAGCCTTTTAAAAAGGCAAGTCTCTATATTTGTATAGGTAATTTATTTATTTAACGAATTTAATGTAATTTTTATCATGATTATTATTTTTCATTAAACTATACTTTTTATTAAAAGAAAAATATGTTTCTTATTATTTTTAATTTTTTTTTTCTTTCTTGAGTTTTTAATTTTACAGATAATGTATTTTTTTTTATTTTTTACTATTTTTATTAAAATTCGTACTATTGTAAATCACAATAATGGTACAGGTATAATCATTAGTTATCTTGGGAAGAAGACTCAGGGAAGGTAAGGAAGGAGTGGGAAGGTCAAGTCACAATCAGTTGCTCAGGCGTGGTCGCTGTGTTAGCTTCGTTTATCCGGGTTTGGTCGCTTCTTATCAGCGTTTGCGTTTTGGTTTGTGTTTGTGTTTCGAGATCAGATGCCTCGCGTATCCAGGGACAAGAACAATGTGAGCACAGTCCACAAGCAGGGTACGATTTGGATATCTACTCATCAATGGCAATAAACAAAATTTTATTTTATTCTCGGGTTAAACTTGTTTACAATGGATATTTAAAGTCATCGTTCATTACTTTTTTTTTTAAGATAAAACCTTATATTTAATAACTCTGACATAATATGCCGACATATATACAGTCATCCTAAAAAACATTTACGTTGTAAAATATGCAACGACGTGTCCTATATTCAAGGATAAACAGATTGTAGCGGTTTAAATAGATAACTAACATTAGGTCTTAGGATATGCATTGGTGTTCTCGTGTTACACTTTTCCATTTCACTCATAAAATTGATTATTTTATTTTCCATATTTTAATTCGTGGGTTGATTTGTACAAGATAAATTCATAAAATAAAGTTTATAATTTAATCCAGTGTTACTATAAATAAATACTTGAATGATAACCGGCTTAATCGGTGTTATAAATTCTCTCAGAGTATGACGTAACAAGCGACCGACTAAAAAGATAAATATTGCATTTATAAGATGTAATAGGAATTCACCTATAAAAAAAAATTAATTATTATTTTGAAAAATTATTTAAATTATACTTTAACTGAAACAAGTTTCCCTCCCCCCCCCCCCATCTCCCTCTGCTTTATGGACAGTAACATTGTTACAATAAATGTTTTCTTAATGCTTAATAAAAATCTTCTTATTGAAACATGATATTGTTTTCGTAGATAACAATAAAAATTGGTGTATAATTTCGCTATTCCTATAACAATATTCGCTATATAGATGATAATGATAATAATTATATAAGTTAACAATTCATTTTTTTTTTTTTTTTTTATGTTTGCCTTGGATTTTATAATAAATCAACCTTGTTATTATTTCCTCATACTTAATGATTTGGGACCTGTACTGAATGGTTGTGTATTCCAAATAAAAAAACCTAATTATAATTACGTTCTATTATTTCATCTATGCATAATATAAAGTAATAAAATATCTATAATACTTATTCCAGCTAAGTAACCATGCGTAAATATTAATTATAATATTTAATACATGTGCTCATAAAATAATTTTTTAAGTAATACTTTTAAAAATTTTAAATTAACCTTGTTAAATATTCATTATTAAATTTTAGGCCACTTTTCTGAAGATTCCAGGCAGCTAATTTTTTAAGAGTGAATATGATATTCAGCATTGGGATATATTTTTAAATGTTCTTATTAAGTTATATAATATAACTGTCTATAAACTAGCACTGTGAATATGATGGCGTAATTAGGGACATTGAAAGTGGGGTGTTTTGGCAGATAGGAATGAAGAAAAGTGAAAAGAAAAAAAAAAAAGAAATACAAACATAATAAATGAATCATGGAAGAAAAACATCGCAAAAGCGTTTCTGTTTAGCCTTGGACATTCCAAGTCTGGGGGTATTAAACAGAGATGCGCTATTATGCCGGTTTGTTTCTGACGTTTTTCATCCGATATTTTATATTTTACTCAGGTTTTCTCCCCTTTTCATCTGTCCATATCTATATAATTTCTTAAAAAATTATCTTTCGCGAGCTGCTCGGCACCATAATTATTCAATTATTTATATACATTCTCTGCGTGATGTTTTGTTTATTTTTTTAAAGTGTTTCGTGGCTTTTCAGAAGCAGTAGTTTTTATTTGATCCATTTTTTGTAATAATTGGTCCATTACACATGAATGTTTTAAAATTGAAAGATGAGAAACTTAACCTTTTCTATTAGTAATCTGGGGTGCCTAGAAGGAGTTAATAATTTATAATCAGTTGCCTATGTACGTTGTTACACAAGTTAATTTTCTTTGATAGTGTAAAACAAATACAATTTTCTTTAGAACATATAAATAGGTATTAATGAATTGAATATTATCTAACCGCCTGTCTCAACGCGAAACCGCTCAAGTATTGGTTTTGGTTTATATATTTAATTTTTTTTACTTAATTTTTTCGAAAAATATAATTTTTTAATCTTTTTCCCCTCAATAATTTATCACACAGTTTCTGGTTGAATATAAAACTATCTCAAAATGATGAAAATTAAAATTTTTAAACTTCTTATTTTAGCCTTCGTGAAAGATTAGAACTTGTCAATTATGTTGTTTCACATTAAGTGTAACAAAATATTACGTCTATATCATTATGTTCTTAAAATAAATATGATGACTAATAGTATATTCGCTGAAATATTTACTCTGAAAAATCTTTATTTGTTGACGATGTCAGATTATACTGTCGCGGTAGATTTATCATCTGATATTTCTATATTCAGCAATCTTCTATGCTCATCTGTAGGATATCCAGCATTATATACATTTTATTATTCCTTTCGATTTGTTATATATTAATAAAAACATATGTCATATATTTATTTTTCATCTATCATATCGAAGGTCTTTACAAACCAATTAATTTTATATTACTATTCACCTCAGCCTTTTTTGAGGTAGTAATATCATTGTCTAAAAATATATAAATAATATTGAAATTATTATTTTATTTATTTTTCGACACATGTCATTCTGACAATGGTTATAGTGAGGTACGACTACATCACACTGTATATAAAGAATCAAAATAAAGAAGCGAAATAATAATGAAAAAGTATAAACAAAAAATAAAATAACTTAAACGTTTCAAATTATAAAGCCATAATTCTCTAACAACCAGGTGAACAGTTAATTCGCCTATGATTCGCCAATGCAAGCATCAAAAGAAAAAACATCACATAAAGGTAGAAAGAAAGTAAGAAAAAAAAAAGGAAAAGAAAATATTATCTCACCAATTTCTTTCTTCAAATTATGTGATCTTGTTTTTTTCTGCCCTGATGGTGCCTTTGGCAGGGCAACTGTTCACATGTATGTTAATTACTCATGGCTTTATAGTTTGGATTGTTACATTTATAATGTCTCTTTTGGAGCTATATGCTTATTTTAGTAAAATAACTTAAAGATAAATAAACTTAAAAAAATATACAGGTACCTATTTACACTCAATATACAATATGATACATTCAAATACAATACATTCAATGCAATATGAACTATTTACACTCAGGACTAATATTGAAATTTAAAATTAAAATTAAAATTCTTAAATCCTCTGTATGTATATATCTAAAGGTACTTTGTCCCAGAATGAAGTTACTTTCTATTATTATTATTATTTATAATTGGAAGGAAGTATTTTGTGTTTGTCTTTAATTATCTAGAAATAAAAATTTCATTATCATTTTTTTTTTAATTTATTTACGAATTACAATATATAAATTAAAATTTTAATATTAGAAAATACGAATACATGGCTGTATAAGAGATAAACACTAAACTTTCACACCACTCTCTAATAGAAATCCTCAAACGCAGTCAAGAGGTAGGTTATACGGCATAAGAATTCGTATTGACTTGAGCTGGTTTCAAAACAAAACTATATTTGATACAACTGGTATAGTAATTTTTACTAAAAGTGGTCAGTGATATCCATTAAAGATATTGATACCCAAACAGTTAATGATACGCAACATTTACACTTTTTATTTTAAAATATTTGAAGAAGCTTGGGTATGATAAAGAACTTTTCTAGCTAGATCAAATAACTAAAAATCTGCTGTGTCAATTCACGTGACTTTTCTACCTGTTTTAGAAAAATGTATTCAACTTTAAGTATGTCAGAGAAATGATAAGGAATATGATTTCTTTGATGTACGGTCATTAAAACCATGTTATAAAATTAAATAATCTGTAAACTTGATAAAACTAGTCTGATTTTATTTTATTTTTGTCGGAAATTTAATAACCTTTCAAAAAATGAGACGAGGTTTTTTTTTCTGGACTCAGGGAGTCCTGTAGCGTAAAGATCAGTTGAACAAGTTAGGCTCCAAACATTTTTCTTTTCTTTTTCCAAACTTTTTTCCGGAATTATCTAGGGAATTCATTATAAAAAAAAAAATATTAAATAGAATATTATAGGTAAGTCTCATCAAAATCGTTCGAGCCGTTATCGCAATACAGTCTATGGAAAAACATGTTTATCTCTTATTGCTCAGGAAGCGTACAATTTCCTTAACATGCATCGGTGATCAAAACACTATAAAACAAAAAAGAAGGAGCAACAAAATCGGTCATTCCTGATATAATAATTTTGACACAGACGGACAGACCAATGACTGAAAATGTGTTTTTGGACTCAAGGGAACAGGTAACCTAAAAATCCATTGAAAACTGACCTTATCGAAATACTTTCTTAGCCTGTCAAAAAAGTAAAAAGATCAGTTTATCTATCATATGTCATCAAGATATAATTATAATCTTTAGAGGAGATATACAAGCATGAATTTCTCTCATAAATGTTTGGTAATTCTTATAGTTTCATGTCATTTCCTTATTATTTATGGTTTTATTGATAGCAAATCATTTCTAGAAAAGCCAATAAAATACTTTGAAAAAACAATCAAGATTAGATTTTCTACTCAATTTTTTTTGGTTCGGTGCCATTATTTAAAATGTTTGTGCCATTTTTTGTTTTGTTTTGTTTCGTAAAAATTTTACCATTCTATTTTAATTAATTATTTATTTATTATAACTTTTAGAAATGAAAAAACGAGATTCGATGAAATAAAAGAATGACAAACGGACGAATTATATTATAATGATACATTTTAGTAAATTTTATGAAGCGGTGCATGGTAGGTAGTTGATAAAATTTTACATTAATTTTAACCAAAATGCTATGTAATAATTTTTTTTTTTATAAAATAAAATTTGGACTATTTATATAACTGATTGTTATTGAATTAATATGTGTTATATTTAATTTAGTGAAGTAGTTTCAAGTATAACAACTGAACTATAATTATTTTGAAGAATCTTGAAAATAGCTCCTGAAGCCGGAACGTCGAATAAATAATATAAGATGTAACAACTGTGTACATTTGGTGACCTTTGGTCTAATATTTTATAAAAAAATAAAAAAAATAAGATTAGGCTT